GCCAACCGATGACCTGGCAGAGGAGTATGAAGGAGATGACGAAACGCTTGGGTGCTGTCGGTGCTACTGGCCTTCCAGGATGGGGACCGCGTGATCCTCACTGTGCCTGGTTGGAGACACTACAAGATATGGCTGCCAACCGATGTCAGTGGCGTTCTTGTTGTCAGTTTCTATCCAGATTACCTGAATCAGTATTTGTTGGTGTAGGCATGTCGTAATGATTGTAGTAAGCTGGCTAGCACTAAGTCTCTTCCCTGTCCACCTTTCCTCTATTCTTCACAAATTATGCTCGAGCACTAGTGAAGCATCGGTGTTGAACACTGATCCCACGCTGTCGATGATCATGATGGTGATGCTCCTGAACAAGAGTGGACAGCGTCTGCACGATCGGTCAGTTTCTAAGCATGGCAAACAAAATCTCCTCGCCGACTTATCACACTGTCATCTTGTCGACTCAACAAATCGGCTCGACATGGAACAACCAGCCTTGCAATCCAATCGAATTCTCAGGTCGCGTCACTAGCGGGGGGGTGTTAGTTCGCTGAAAACCGGAGCAATGAAGCAGTGTGTCCGGTTAATCCATTTCTTCTCAAAAGATGACCTCCAGAATTGTTTTGAGGGCATATGGCAGCACGAACAAGTGCGACCTGAACGGCAACAACCGGATCAGAAGACATGATCCGTGTTCATCAGTAGCAGTCGCGACGCACAAAAGATTTACACAACATTCAGTTGCGCAAAAGGAATTCTACTGTTTTTTTGTTTGTTTGTTTGACGGGAGTAACTGAGTTGTGCGTTGTGGGCGGTTTTTCGGGATTTGTAGAATGCATCAGTCTCGTTTGAATAGTCGTCCTCCTGGCACAATCCTTCTGGTGAGTCTACACTAGCACATCTCCGGCCGTGCCGGGGTTCGAACTCCGCACATGCAAGGGGAGAGAGAGTGTTACTTTCGCGCTACACTATACATATTTCCAACCAAAATTGTTCATCTGTGTGATCGTTTGTGAAGCAATCGTCTTGGCTCCCAAGAGGAAGAACTTTGGTTTGGAACACTGGTAAACGAATCCGTTCAGCTGTTGAACTCTTTCAGGGACTAACTGTCATGCCACCCGAAGGAAACACGAGGGCTGATATACTGCCAGGTGGCCCAAGCCTAGACATGGGAAGTCGAGGGGGCAGAGGTCGGGTTCGAACCACGGACCCTCCAGTCAGTAAATTCGCACTCGAGCTACTCAGCCATCTCGTGAATTACTCATTCATATGCTTCCAGGTCGAACAGCATGGAGCACACCTCATGCACGCCACATAGCACATTGAAGTATGACATTGTTCTGGTAAGGTTGGATAGGAGGTCTTGAAGCGGAGCGTCTGCCCTGATCTGGGTTCAACTCTTCTCAAGCACGGACGGGATCAGATGGTTTGCACTGTTGTCACAACGTTTCTCCACAGACAAATGTGACGTAAACTCTTCAAGTCATCGGGAAGCCTCTGAAGAAGACTAAACTGCTCTCATTGACCCGTACTTCACATCAAATTAGGTACGATAAGATGGCGTGAAGCTTCATGTGACCTCCACTACTCGTACAATACGCGGGAATAGAAGAGTGAGACTGGTGTCACGGTTGCAATTCTGAGCTGGTTCAGATATCACACTTTTGTTAACTGAGAACGACCATAGAATTCAGCTGCCTACGTGCTCGTCGTGTCATTACTGATCGCTACGCCACATCTACGTCGGTCGGCTCATGAGGCTAATGAAACAGGTTGCGCAAGGAATTCAACACAATGCATCTTGTTTCAAGGGGCTAACTGCGAATGTGGGTTAATAAGTCCAAGTTAAGAATTTCAAACCCCCTTTAGTGTAGAGAAGCTAGAAAAGAATCAGTAAGCGAAACGGTTCTGTGAAAAGACGGGGTCACAAAAGGCACAGATCATTGCAATGGTGTATACTACTGATGGAGCGTGCGAGTAATATCTGTCTAAAGCAGTGTGAAACACGATGGCTGACATAATGTCGGGTCGCTCAAGCCTAGGCAGGAGCAGATAGGTCAGAACGTTTTAGGAAACTCGTTTTTTTTGCACAAAAATCGGCAAAGCGAGTCCGCTGCTTCGTGCTGTCCTGCAACCCGGCCAGTCGACATTTTCAACACATCTTTTTCGCGCGCCAGAGATCAATTGACCAAGAGATTGCCCACCTTGAAGAGGGTTGATGTGGTTGTCAAGGTGCGTTGATTAGTTGTCATGACAACCGAATAGTCTGATTTTCGACACGAAGTAAAGTTGAGTTAAAGTGCGTGGATTCAGCGCGCTCGGAACACAGGCTATGGTAACATTTCCAAGCATGATGTACCTGTCTTTTGGAAGCAACAAACCCGGAAAAAAAACGCCTGATGGCCTCATTTCTTCTGCACTGAGTATCTTCCAGCCTAGCAACTAACATTGTCACCTCGTCTTTATAGGTGATCTCTCAGTTGGACGAATCAGTTGTTTTCACTTTACTCAAGAAACAGGGGTAATCAGTTGGGCAAGCGGATGCTTACTCTCTCTGGTTGTATGAAATGGAGTTTACATCGGGTAAGGAGAGCCCAGCAGATTGTGGATATCGTTCAGCGCAATCTCGCGCGAAGGTACATCGGCCTAGTTCGACGTGAAGGATGAATCTGTAAATGGCATCACTGTGGTCTTCTTGTTCGAGAACTTATCGCCCCATATGACAACAGCTACACGCACGAAGTTACCTACATCCCATTGGAGATAAATCAATAGCTGTTCACCTCTAATACCCTTTCGGTGCCCATGCTACTTAACAGGTTGTCCGAGCCTAGAAGGGAGCAGTCAAGAGACCGGGGATGGGTTCGAACCACGGAGTTTCATGTCCGTATGTCCGCGCTTGAACCACCATCTCGAGATCTTCACCGATTTGAAGGAGGAACTATTGCGGACCTGCATGACGAACCCACGTTTGGGAACCCACGCGAACATCGTGGATGACATTTCCGATTCGCCGAGTGATTTTGACTCGACGCCAGGATACGCGATTACCACGATAGTCCTGTACTAACACGCTCCGTCCGATGTCAAAATGTCGCCACTTTGCACGATTCTTGCGACTATAGTGAGACTCCATTTTCTGATTTGATAATGCCACCTCCTCCTGTGGAGGCTTCAGAAGATCAAAGGTGCTTCGGAGAGTGCGGTAAAGTAGTAGTGTCTCTGCAGGCGATCTGCCCTGGACGATGACAAATAAAATGCAATCACAAAACGCCGGATTTTAAACAACACAGCGATTAAAGACCAAAAAATATCGATTTTTATACACTTCACTATCGTATGAACTTTTGTCCCAATGTGATCAATTTAATTAGCGAGATGTGGTCAGAAAGGAATTCGAATCAACAAGTGCTTTCCCGCTTCGATGTCCACTAATTACGATGTGTTTGATGGGTCCAAGTACTAGCAAAAACCCGAACGCACCTCGGACGTTGTGCACTTTTATAAGATCCGTAGTTTTACGGTCATCCAGTTCACACGGCTCTGCGTATGTTGTACGTCCCATGGCATAGGGAGCCACCGATATTGCTAACCCCTCAGGCAAATTGATGTGCACAGACGTACTCAATCCTTCTGTCGCTCAGATTTGACCGTGTCACTCTTCCGGTGCTTAGCTGCCATGCCACTCGAAGAAAGCACGAGGGCTGAGATACTGCCAGGTTGCCCAAACCTAGAGAGGGGAAGCCAAGAGGCAGGTGGTGGGTTCGAACCGCGGACCTTTCGGTCAGTAAATTTGCGCTCTAACCACTTGGGCCATCTTGACCAGTTTGACCGTGCAAAGGTGCAACGATCCAAAATGCGCTTCATATTGGTTTGCCTTAAGGACGTAGCACTGGGAAGCCACCTCAGCTGGAACAAACATCACGCGACTTGCCATCGAGTGCGGACAAGTGGCCACATTGGACGAAACCGGGCTCGCCAACCAAACAATCGACGGCTTTCAGTGGGCAGCCCGGACGCAACGACAAACAACAAGCTGTCGCCATGACATTGGAACAACAAATGTTTCGACAGCATGAGTCGAAAGATCCTACCGGTGAAAGGGAGAAGGTCTTCGCTGCGGAGAGCTTCTCCACACTCAGCTGGCCAGTTGCTCGCGCCAACCGTAACTGGGCACCAGGCGCCGGCTGCACACCTTCGACGAACTGATNTGTTGGCGCGACACGGCGTCCAGCCCCGGGCAAAGCGCGATCCAACAACTGATGCAAGCCGGTGAAGAACAAGGTCGGGTCAGATCCAGGCGCCATCCTGGCCGTCTTGAACCGCCTCATATCCTCCTGGCTGTTCGGCCGGCGGTCGAACTCCGCAGCGAAGGCCTTCTCCCTTTCATTACACCGGTTGCAGTCTCAACGTTGATCGCCAGTTGGACTGCACCATAACCCGAGATGTTTCATTGAGAACATCATTAATATTCTTGGCGGAAAAGCTCTTGCTTTTCCGGAATATTACTAATGCGGTCAGCCTGAAAGAACCATTAGTAGTCATCGTTGAAAATGGTCAAGTAACTTGTTGCTGGAAATTCGGCACATTGGGTAACAGAAGGACTTTTCTGCGGTGATTTGTCGGATAGTGCAAGATGTGAGGAATCTAGCAACGGCAAAGTTTTCGTCCAGTGTTTTTGTTCCAAGAGTACATTTTTGTGAAATGATCGGACCCAGAACACGGGACACACGAACATCGCAACAAGTTCAATACCTCTCGGCCTAAAAAGCGGTGCCTGTTTGTAGTGTCAGCTTATGCCGACATCATCATCATCATCATCATCGACAGCATGACATCAGTGTTCAACACTAATGCTTCACTGCCGTACAACCATGACTTAGTTGAAAGCCTTATTGTAAAGAAAAGAGTAAATGTGGACGGG